AGAGAGAGAGAGAGAGAGAGAGAGAGAGAGAGAGAGAGAGAGAGAGAGAGAGACAGAGACAAAGACACAGACAGAGAGAGACAGAGAGGGACAGCGAGAGACAGAGACAGACAGAGACAGAGAGGGTCAGAGAGGGACAGAGAGACAGAGAGAGAGAGCAGGCAAAGTTGTTTGCAAGTCAAGACTGTATGATTAAGACAGTATGAAGAAACCCACTTTCTTCCTTCCTTTTTTTGTTCATCATACAGGTCCTCCCCATGTAGGCTAGCCTTGAATGCAATCCTCCTGCCTCACCCTTCCAGCACTATGATTACAAGTGTGGGATCCACAGTTTTGTTTCATGGCAGCTGCTTGACTTAAGGATCGTCGGCACCAACTTCCTAGTTGGAAATCTGGCTCCTGTTGATTGACTACGTGAGGTCGGGCAAGACTTTCACCTCATCAAAGCTTGATAGAAAGGGGACAACAACACTTCAGATAATTATGGAAGTCCCCCAGCCTCCTTGGAACACGTCCAGAGGAGACTCGAGAACCAGAGCGCTCTGGCGACTGATCTTGGTGTAACTCAAGACTGTGGGTGATCAGCTAGGGCTTCTGAAAGAGAAGTGACTCTGGCAGAATTTGGGCACAGTCTAAAGTCCTCTATCCCGGGGGAAGTGCCAAGGGTTCCTGAAGACTGACCACGCCCCACACGTTTGGATCTCACTTTCTACCTTGTGCTGTGTGTTTGCGGCAGTGTTGGAATCTTTCTAGCGCTCCAAGTCAAACTTTTGTTTGTTTGTTTTATTGCTGTACAAATACGACCATTAATTTTCAGCAAAGCGTGTGTTTTTTTGCTTGGAGTTGCCGATTCTTCCATCCTGAGGCTTCCTGCAGCCCGAGGGTGGTACAGACATTGAAGCGAGTGCAAACCAAGAGCCAGCAGTTAAAGGGGACCTCCCTGGAAGTCACTCTGATGAGGTCGCCTGGCCAAGATACTTCCACTTGAGCTTCAGGTCCTGTGGGAAAGCCTTTGAGGTAGCTACAGTCATGTTAGGACTTCCAGAGAGCCCTGTCCTAGCCAGCAGCACATGCACGCATGCGCGCGCCCACTTTTCTTATCTTCCGGCCACCTGCAGTCTTCTCTCACCTTTTTTTTTTGTCCTGAAAGTCTCTGCTCTGTGCTTTTAGAACTCAGCGACAGACAGTAAAAACTAAATAAACAGACCTGATTTTGTTAGTCCTGACTTTTATGATAAAGTCTGGATTAACAGAATTAAAGGGTGTGGCATGCCCCCCATACTCCGACCCTCATGTTGGGATCAAATTCAGGGTCTTTGAGCTACCTTCCCAGTCTCAGAAGCCTTACCCCTCTCTCTCTCTCTCTCTCTCTCTCTCTTTTTGAAAATTTATTTATTTATTTTTATGT